TTCTATAAATACTTTCATGGTAACTGTTCTGATAAACTTTTGACATTGTTACATAGACTTTATAAATTTAAGTACAGTACTATCTTGGTGACTAGGTCTCATCAGTTTACAGTTGAATTGGCTAGATGTAACCATAAGTTCTCTACTAACAGTTTCTTTTCTCGCACTTCTTGCTTGTAGAACTTTCTTCCAGCTCCATGCTTTCCAGCTAACTTTGATCTTCAAAAATTTAAATGCAATGTCAATCTTTATCTACTTTCCTCCTGATCTCACTTCTATTATTCTCAATTCTTAATAATGTTTCTGTTTTCTAATTCCTTTACACTCAGTAACCCTTCATGCCTTTGTAACTTCACTGCCTTGCATGGGGTGAATTTGATTAAAAATAAAAGCCAAAAAAAACAAACAAACTGTATTGTCTTGTAGCTAATCAGTTTAAACAACTTAAATAATTAACCCAATTTAAGTAAATAAAATAAAAAAAATATTGCATTTTTTAGCTGTCACATGATTGAAGGGAGAGGATGCGTATTTGCTGTCAGATGTCATCCATTTTTATTGGACAGAAAAATAGAAACAAAATCCTTAATAAATAAGGTCTAATTTAATTTTATAACAGTGTAACTTAGCCATCCTAAATTAATGAAAGAAATTTAACTGAATGAAGACATAAAATTTGCATTATGGGATAGTTTAGTTACTAGATCAATCAAAGAAATGTGTTAGATACAGTGGGGTTGCTAAACAGAAATGGAATCTTTGGTAATTAGATTGATATATTCATACCATAGTATCTAAATCCCTAGATTCCTCTATAAGGTATGATTTGTGCTTGAAAAGAGAAAACATATTATATCAGTCTGTTATAAAAATTTGTGCCCAATTTTCATTGTTAATATAAAATTAATAGTTTGTTTTGGTGCTGATTTCTGATGTGAAACCCTTGCATTGTTCAGTTGCGAGCCACACTTTGTTGACATTTTGTTCCCAAATGAATGCTTTAAAGATGGAGGATGAAAAGTTGTATTTTACCATATTATGCTCTATGAATTTCAGAAAGCAGTTAACACCGGAAATGTAAAAAAAAAAACAAAACAGGTTTGTTTGGATCATGCTTCACACCTTTCCCAAGGGTATTAGCACATAAATGAATGTAATGGATTCGACTGGAATTTGAACTTGGCTCTCCGATTCCTCAATCCAAGCCGCCATCTATTACCCTTCTTCTCCCTCCGGCTATGGGTAAATAGCAGGACAGACTGGGTTTTATAGCCTTGGATGGCAACTGGTCTAGGAGAAGGACAACTCTGAATTCAAAACCTGCAGAGGGTCATTTGGGGACCTTGTGGTACATAGTGTACCAGGTCTCTCTATTCGGCCCTTCAAAAAGTGTGGATGGTCCTGCACAAAACCTTCACCACTATAATCAAATCTCATGTGGTGTTGTCGGGTTGTCGGTTTCCTGGGAACTGATCTGCTTGACCCTCATACATCAAGTTGATGGGAGAGTCGAGTATATATATATATATATATATATATAATTTTATAAACAGTATTAAGAAAATAGTATGACATTGGAAAAATTGATGCATTTCATTTGTTAGGATTTCACCAAACTAGGCTTTGTTGATGTTGCCACGTCTACACACATGCATAAAATGAAAGACTCTGGTAGTTTCAAAATTTTTAAAAGTATATTTTTATTTTTGAATATTTTTTGAAAGTACATTTTTTTTTTCAACATGATGTCCAAGAAAGGCAAATAAAAAAAAAAAACAAACTATTAATCCCAATTTAGATTTGTGTCTGCTCCCCCTCCTTCCCCACAAAAAAAAAATCCCAGAAGGAAAAGTTTTTAAAAACATTTTCAAAAAGTTAAAAAAAAATTAATAAAGTTAAAAAAAAAAAATATGTAGATATCAAAAACATTAGTGCACTTTCAGAAATGACATTTGTAAATAACACTGTCCACATATCCTCTCGTATCATGCAACCTTTGAAGACCTAATTTTGAAGCTAATTTGAATACAGTAAATTGATATATAGTTTGGTTAATGGTATACCCAGGGCCAGTAGTACATATGCTAAATTTATATTTTGTTTATGATGCGACCCACTAAAAATTAGGTCTTGAAAAGTCCCATTATATGTGAGTGTATATGGTAGTCTGATAACTCTGTTAAAGTCAGGGATAGATTTTACACTGTATCAATATTCTTCCATCCAAAAAGATTAAAATTCAATATACAATATTTTCTGGCTTACAAGACACAATTTTTTTCCTAAAAAAAATACCCTGAAAGATATATGTGCATCTTCCAAGACTAATATTAAGCAACGTCCAGGCTCAAATAAACTCGTATGGTCACCTAATTGGCTTGACTAATAGGGGCGTGGATTTTTATGCTGAGTCATTAAACTATAATGTTAACTATCTAATTCAGCCTTTTATATAATATAACATCAGTACTTAGCTCTTAGAAGGATTTCCAAATCTATAAACCTTCCTAGAGCTGAGCCACAAGGTTAAACATGCTCTGCTTACTAGCAGCAGTGGGAGCCTTTCTGCTTCTGACTAGTATGTCATTGTCTTACAAACAAAATTGGATGAGTGATTAATGTAAGCAATATGTGGCACCAGTATGTAAGGGATGCATGGTGAAGGTGTTGTTGTATGAGAATGACATTTTTTTCTTAGAAATTTCTTTCCAGTTTTAGGGCACCACTTCCAAGCTGCAACGTCTTGTAAACTGGAAAATATGGTTTTTTGACTCTGAGAAGTGTTGCAGCCTAAGAAAGGTCTATAGAATGATAATGTAAAAAAATTATTTTGAAAAAATTTTACCCGTATTTTAGGAGTGGACCAGTCTATTTAAGTAGTGCCAGTATTCATGCCCATACACTCACATATGATTTTTTATTACTTAAGCATTATTTATATTTAAGTAGATGATCTGTTTATTAAACAGTATTTTTTTTATCCCATGACCGTTGGGTTATAGGAGCACCATGTGTACTGCAGCTGCAGTAGAAGTGGTCTTTCTTGGGCAAAATAGCCTGACCGAGCCCTACTCTCTCCAGGCCAGTTTTGAATTCAGTTTTTCCTTCTCCTAGACCAGTTTCACCCAAGGCTATAGAACTCACTCTGTCCTGCTATTTATTCATAGCTGGGGGGAGAAGAGGATTCATATCTTTCCAAAGGGTATTAACACATAAGTGAATGTAATGGATCCAACTGGAATTCGAACTCAGCTTTCCGATTCCACATTCCATGCCACTATCCATTACTCCACCGTGCCTAAACCATATATTTATGATTTAATAAATAAACGACATGTCTGCTCAAATCAGAGTAACCACTAAAAATAACTTTTAAGTAATAAGAATCTGTCAGATTAATAGATAAAAAATGTATCCATTTCTTTAGAAATTGTTTTGTTTAAGTTAGATATATTTGCTGAGTTTCTTATTGTGTTTCGAGAGCCAGAGAGAAATCTTTGCTTGGACATCAACACACTCCATGGCCGAGAGAGTCAAAGCACATCAGGTCTAATGATGGTTTCCCCTTGGGGAACACAGGTTTGAATCCTGCCAGAGAGTGAATATTTTCTAAGATTTTTCGGATATTCAGGCCAACAGATGAAAATAAATAGATATACTGTTTAATAAATAAACAGAGCATCTACTCAAATACAAGTATCCACTAAAAATAACGTTTAAGTCATAAAAATCTGTTAGATTAATAAATAAAAAAAATCTATCCCTTTTCCATGTAATTCTTTTGCTTCTATCACAACATATGTATCTGGATATATTTGCACATACATCAATATATGTTGCATGATCCTGGGCATAAATTTACCATAGGAGACTCAGAAATTAGTGCACTTTCAATACTTTTTTGCATTAATAAGTTATTTTCTCTTTTAATGATAACTACATTCTTTAAATAAAAATTATAGACAGACCTATTACAATGAAGAACTAATGTAATGAATGGATTGTTTTATAAAAGATCACTTTTGTGTTCATAAAACCTTTTATCTAAATTCCTCAATGTTTCACACATTCACTTCTAAATCCTTATACATGCCTATATACAAAAGAAAATATACATAAAGTTCAGCATGCACATTCTTATATACGTAGCTACATACACATTTATGTATACACACACAAATATCTGCACTAACACATACAGATATATACACACCAAAATGCACACATATACATACTTGTACATACAGATATATACAGATACATATAGATATATACATACCAAAATGTATACATACGCATGAAACATTCTTTTTTCATAATGTTACTCATTTCTAGGTTTAATGACTAATAATCAAGAAGAAATAATGGTAGATTTTTTTTTTCTTTTGTGAGGAGTGGGGATTAATCCTTTTTTTTTTTTTTTTTTTTTTAAATACTTGTATATGTCTTTTTTAATGTAAAATCATTAACCTAAGAAATTCTTTTTTAGGATTTTATCTTTTCTTGTACTATTTTATCTGTTTCTCTCTCTTTTTTTATTCTTATCATTTCTTTCTTTTTGTCCTTTCTTTTCATTCTAACCATCTCTCTCTCATTTGCTTTTTCACTCTCATCCTCTCTGTGTGTCTTTTTTAGTTTCTCTACTTCACTTTCCTCTCAATCTCTCTCTCTCTCTCTCTGTTCACTTTTCCCTCTTTTTTTCTTTAGTTTTCCCTTTTTTATTCTCTCTATTTTCTTCTTTATTCTTTATATTTCTTGTTTTTCATTTTAATCTTTTCCTTTTTTATTCAATCTCATTCCATTTTCTATGTCACTTTCTTTTCTTCTCCTTCTCCTTCTCTTTCTCTTACTTTTACATTTTACCCTTTTTATTATCATAATCTCTCTCGTAAGCTGTCATTTCTTCCGTCTTTCTCACTCTTTCTCCTTCTTTTTTGCCTCCTGGCTGTCAGTTCTTCCTTTGACCGCTCACTATTAGTCTTTTCTCTATCCTTCACTATATGAAAACATTCCATTTCTTTCTCTCTGTCAACATGTTTACTTTCTTTCTCTTTCACTCTCTGTCAATGCATTTCCTTTCTTCCTTTTTTACACTCTGTCAACACATTTTCTCTTTTGCATTTCATCTCTGTGAATGCATTCTCCCTCCCTCTCTCACTCTCTGTCAAGGCATTTTCCCTCCCTCTCTCGCTCTCTTGTCAAGGCATTTTCCTCCTCTCTCACTCTCTGTCAAGGCATTTTCCCTCCCTCTCGCTCTCTTGTCAAGGCATTTTCCTCCCTCTCTCACTCTCTGTCAAGGCATTTTTCCCTCTCTCTCGCTCTCTTGTCAAGGCATTTTCCTCCCCTCTCTCGCTCTCTTGTCAAGGCATTTTCCTCCCCTCTCTCGCTCTCTTGTCAAGGCATTTTCCCTCCCTCTCTCGCTCTCTTGTCAAGGCATTTTCCCTCCCTCTCTCACTCTCTGTCAAGGCATTTTCCCTCTCTCTCTCGCTCTCTTGTCAAGGCATTTTCCCTCCCCTCTCGCTCTCTTGTCAAGGCATTTTCCCTCCCTCTCTCGCTCTCTTGTCAAGGCATTTTCCCTCCCTCTCTCGCTCTCTTGTCAAGGCATTTTCCCTCCCTCTCTCGCTCTCTTGTCAAGGCATTTTCCCTCCTTCTCTCGCTCTCTGTCAAGGCATTTTCCCTCCCTCTCTCGCTCTTTTCCCTCCCTCTCTCACTCTCTTGTCAAGGCATTTTCTCGCTCTCTTGTCAAGGCATTTTCCTTCCCTCTCTCACTCTTTTCCCCTCCCTCTCTCGCTCTCTGTCAAGGCATTTTCCCTCTCTTGCTCTCTGTCAACACATTTCCTTTGTTAATTTTTTCTTCCTCTCTCGATCTCTATCAACCCATTCCTTTTCTTCCACTCTCACTTTCTTTCAACACATTCCTTTGCTATCCCTCTCACTCTGTCTTTACATTCCCTTTCTTCCTCTTTTTTTGACTTCTCTGTCTCTCAGTCATCGCCCACCACATCTCGTCATTTGTTTCCTCTCTCTGCTTTCACTTGAATAATTGAAGCACCTACTAATCTATGTCTGTATCCATAGCAACAACAAATCATTATTCCTGACAAATGAATCAATCCCAAAGTCTGCCTTTCACTAATGATTACAGGTAGATTAATTAATCTACTAAAAGCAAATTTATCTGTTTTTCTATCGAGGTATTTATTTTTTTCATTTCCTTTTATTATTTATGATGATTAAAAGCTCTTATTTTATTATTTACTATTTCTAATGAGGAGATTTGGATAAGAAACAGAAACACTTATGGCACCGGTGGGGGGAGATAAAAAAGAAAGAAAGTCTAGTAGAAGAAACTGAAAACAAATAAAAATACAGCCACTAGTCACATAACGACTTACCTTTTTAAGGACTTCCCCACCCTAGGGTTTATAAAAATCTCAGATGAGAATAAATTGGTATTATACATCATATGAAAACTTTTGCTTTTAATTATTTTTTCAAAATAAAAGAATAAATGAGGTGGTGGTGGGGGTTCCTGATATGGGCAATTAGTATCCGCCCCCCCTCCCCCCCAAATCCTATGAAAGTATAAAAAATACATTTTTATAGTAAAAATACCAGTATTACATTCTTATATAAATTACCAACAATAAGCAAATACTAATAAATTGTAGTGACTTCACCCAAATCCATTTAAAATACTACCAAACAACCAACATGAAAGAACTTTCATATAATATCTGACAAGGTCTTAAGTCATATAATATCTGACAAGGTCTTAAGTCATATAATATCTGACAAGGTCTTAAGTCATATAATATCTGACAAGGTCTTAAGTCATATAATATCTGACAAGGTCTTAAGTCATATAATATCTGACAAGGTCTTAAGTCATATAATATCTGACAAGGTCTTAAATCAAACTGTATTCCAAAATATAACTACAGCACAAAGCGCACATCACTGCCTCTAATTATGTCCACACAAATCTCTACATGCACAAAAGCTGAGTATCATTTACCATATATTCAGTTGTGAAAGCAGAATAACATCTACCATATTTTATTACTTCAAAACTCAAAAAAAATTTAATTTCAGCATTAAAGGACCCATAAGAATATATTATTCTGTTAAACAGACAATTTAAACAATCATATAAACATTTAGAAATGTTACAAATGGTAAAAAACATAATATTAAAGCAGTGTGGTGTTGGTTGGCACAAGTCTAATACACATTCCTCCCAGGGTTTTTAAACAGGAGTAGAGGTTTATTCCTTGTTTCCACTTTAGAGTTGGGTTTCTGGTTCCTTCAACTCAATGCTTTTGACTGCCAGAATATTTGAAATTTTATTCAGTAATTATTACTATTTTTTTTTTCCTTTTCCAATAAGAGTAGATAGGTTTGCCTATCATCTGGTTCACACTCCACCTCAGTCTTTTAAACAGGAGTAGAGGTTTATCCCTTGTTTCTACTTTAGGATTGGGTTTCCGGTTCCTTCTAAAGTCTTCTTCAACTCCTATATACACCTAATGTCTCTGCCTGAACTATGAAATTTTATTCACTTGTTAAATCTTGAAATAGCTATCAGACATAACTTTTAAATGGCATTAGAACACTTTCAGAAAGGATCTTTGTAAATAACACCAAGTCCAATAACTCTGTAAAAGTCAGGTGTAGATTTTACACTGTATCAATATTATGAAGACAATGTATTTATAATATATATATATATATATATATAAACAGAGATTTGTACCTGAGGAACTGATATATAGCTTTGAAGAAAGTGGATGTCATATCTAAAGCACCTTTCGGTCAATGCTTTGTTAAAGACATTCGTTGGCAATATATAATATAAATGAATGCAAAGACAATAAAGTGACTGAGGAGGGAAAGGTGGAACTCGACTAAAAGATAAATTTTAATTATATAAATTAAAATCAAATGAGGGGGGGATATCACTAAAATATATTATATAATGTATTTATAATGTATATATATTATATGATGTATTTATAATATATATATAATGTATTTATAGTATATATATAATATATATAATGTAGTTATAAAAAATATATATATATATATAATGTATTTATAATATATATATAATGTAGTTATATATATATATATATATATATATATATATATATATATAATATATATAATGTAGTTGTGTATATATATATATATATATATATATATATATATATATATATAATGTAGTTATATATATATATATATATATATATATATATATATATATATATTATATATATATATATATATATATATATATATATATATATATATATATATATATAATGTATTTATATATATATATATTTATAATATATTATATATATATATATATATATTTATTTATATATATATAATGTAGTTTATATATATATATATATTTTATAATATATAATGTATTTATATATGATGTATTAATATAATGTATTTATATATATATATATATGTATTATATGATGTTTATAATATATATATGTATGTATTATAATGTATTATAATATATATATGTATGTATTATATGATGTATTTATAATATATATATATGTATTATATGATGTATTTATAATATATATATATATATATATATGTATATTATAATGATATATTTATAATATATATATATATATATATATATATATATATTATATATATATATTTATAATATATATATATATATATAATATATATATATATATATATATATATATATATATATATATATATATATATATATATATATATATATATATATGTATTTATAATATATATATATATATATATATATATTTATATATATATATATATATATTATATGATGTATTTATAATATATATATATATGTATTATATGATTATTATATATATATATATATTGTATTATATATGTATTTATATTATATGATGTATTTATTATATATATATATATATATATTATATGATATATTTATATTTATATATATATATATATATATATATATATATATATATATATATATATATATATATATATATATATATATATATATATATATATATATATATTATATATATATATTTATAATAGTGGTATAGTGTAAAATCTATCCAGGGCTTTTAGAGCTTCATATAAAAGGATAAAAATTCAATATTTTTTTTTTATTTTTTTAAGTGTCATGGTCTACGGAAGGTTTATAGAATGATAATGTACAAAATTATTTTGAAGAAAATTTGACCCTATTTTTTTACAAGTGGACCAGTCTATTTAGGTAGTGCCAGCATATATTCTTGCCCATATATACATGTAATTTTTTACTCTTATCTTGACACATGCATATACACATATTTGCAAGTATAATGTGGTGTAAATGGTTAGCATGCTTGTCTCACTCGACCAGCGGTTCCCAATTCATTTTGGGCCATGCCCCACTTTCGTATTTCTAAAATCCTGGTGTCCAACCCTGTATTAGTTAATTCTTATATGTATACCAAATTACACATGTATGTAAATACACACAAAATATTTTTATGTATGCATATTGTATATGCATCGTATATATTAAAATGCATTAACATTCTCACACAGACTTGCTAGAAAACAATTCAATATTAATAACTCATGCTCGAATTGTTGGTATAATAAGCCAAAGGGTGCACATCCTATGCATGCCCCACCAAAATATTACCATGCCCTACCAGTGGAGCATGTGCTCCACATTGGGAATTATTGCACTAGATCAATCACAACTGAATAGTGAGTTCAATACTCACTTCTGCCACATCTAATCTATACTTAGAAAATCATCATACACACCAAAATGTTGCATGATCCTGGACATAAATTTATATAGGAAACTCAGAAATTAGTGCACTTCAAATATGTTTTTGTATTAATAAATTATTTTCTCTTCTAATTAAAATTACATTCTTTAAATAAAAATTTGACAGACCTATTACAATGAATGACTAATGCATTGAATGGACCATTTTGTAAAGTCAAGTGTAGAAACCAAAGTAATGTATTGAACATAGAACTGATTTTGTTTCATTACTTTTATCGCAATATTTATATTTACTGCAATATTTATTACAATACTGCTCTGTATAAACATTTAGTAATAAATTAGAAATGTTACAAATTGTGCAAAAGTAACAATAAAGCTATCTAACACTGGTTAAAACAAACCTATTACATGTGTTGTATACCTGAAATAGTCATCAAGCACAACTTCTATACTTAAACATGACCATCCATGTCCTTAAGGGATTTCACATATAAAAGAATTAGGATGGATTTGAGTTGCATTGTTGGGTATTTCATTTAGTCTAAGAAAGTTTTTTATTATGAAAAGAACAAACTGTTTTATCGCCTTATATGGCAATGAATGCTGGACATTTTCCTCACAGATGAAAGGAGACTTGTAGCAATGTGTTTCTAAATGAAATGCTGAGAATATATAACACAAAAAAAAATTCTTACAATCTAAAAATATTTTAAATAACCTGTAAAGGGTTGATAAGCTGTAAAAGTAATCAGTCAATAGTTTATTTTTTGCAAGCACTTGTATTTGGTACACATGAGTATTGTTTATTAAAAAAAACACACACTTGGAATTCTGACTAACTGATGTCAATTTGGATAAGAATCCAATGGAATGATAAATAGATAAGACAGTCTAAAATTTTCTTGTATATTTACTAATTCTGACTGATAATGCAGAAATGAAATTATAACAGACATTACTTTTTAACTAATCTACCAAATTCCTTTTCTCTAAATAATAATAATAATAATAATAATAATCAATAATAAAATAATAAATAAAATAAAGAATCTCTAAATACATAGTTTCTGCTATATATTTAGAGATTCTTGATAAAATACAAAGAATCTGCAATTTTATTGGTCTTGACCTGGCATCTCAGTTACAGTCACTTAACCACCACTGAGGCTT